CAAAAAATGCTGCTGTTGCTCCTGTTCCTTGGTATGTATAATGTGAGGTACATTTCAAATGTAGACAGTGTACAAGTATATAAATTAGGTTTTGGCATTATTTTTAATTCCTGAAATATACAATGTTTTGGTTAATGAGTTAATTATGTTTGTTCCTTTGTTGCCTCTTCCACAGCAGCAGCAACTAGGTTCTTTAATTACTTTTTTTCCCTTTTTTTTTTTTTTTTTACAAAAAAGATATTATAACGTTCTCCCTTGGTTTCCAGTATGGATATAATATTTTCACACACATTTCTAATCAGCAGGAGTTCTTTTAGCATACTGAAAACATTCACTTGCTTTGGATTTAAAATGTCATGTTCTCCACATGATCACTGTTTTTACTGTATATATTAATAATTTTTCATTACTTATACATACAAAATCACTTTAAATCATCTAATAGACAAACTAATATCGTACTTAATGCCACTGGGAGATACCTGATGTGCAAGGCAATATATATAAAATAAAGTAGTATGCATTTTTGCAGAGAACAGTGACAACAAAAAGAACAAAAACATATTTCTGAGCTCTTTACCGTTTTAGTACAATCTCCTTAATTCTGTTCAATTCTGCTACAATGGCAGCCATTTTGAGTTGGCATGTCTGGGCTAAATCTTCTCCACTTCACTATTTTGGAGTGTTCTGCAACAATTCCCATGTTAAAAAAAAAGTATTTCAGAGAGCTTGATGAGTGCTTGTTGAGGATTTAGCATATATCTTCACTTCTATGCCATACTATTATAATAAATAATCTGTTATGAAAGCAACTCTAAACTATCAGATAAATACTGTTTAGTTCTCTAAATAATAATACGAACAAGAACATGTGTCTAAAATAAGTGGCGTTTAAATACTTTTTCTTCCACAAAGCTTTATCAGTATGAAATATGTCACCAGTCATTTATAGTAATAGCAGATTTATCATTAAACTTGTTCCTTTTCACATTGTAGATTTATATTAAAAGTTCACTGAGACTTGGCTTGAGAATAGAGATAACATTTGCAAATCATGTTCAGCTGTTAATTTACTACTGAGATTTTTGTATTCACAAACTTAATAACAGCTGGAGCTTGGCAACTAGTGAGCCTTGACCAAATGCCCTGGAAATTAATGGATTCTTTCTTTGATTTCACAAATCAAGCTTTCTGTGGATGTTCAGACCAATGTGGTTGATTCATTTCATGGGAGACTGTAGAAATTGTATGAAAATAAAGTGGAAATTTTATGATTCGGCTTGTCACAAGGACTTCAGAGTAACTCCATTTTTCAAATCCATATTGAACAGCAAGTGTGGGAGTGCTGTTGCTGTGAATTTCCTGTTGAAAAGTGTAATGAGTGGGAATGATGTACTTTGTAAAATCTTTTCATGATTTTGCCTCATAGTCTGTGTGATTATTTAAAAAAGAAGATCTTTTTTCTCTTTATGGTGGTATTTTCTGAAACAATCTTCTACAACTTGCTCTGTTCTCACAGTTTTTATTCATACTCCCAAGACAATGAGGGATTTGAAAGTCAAACTGTGTGAGGAATATTAAAGGGTCTGGGTGCCACTAGCTTACAGCACAAGCAATTGAGGAACATATGATTGCAGTCTTCAAAATCAGATGATCACACAGAAGATGGAATTGACTTATTTTATATTGCCCCAGAAATCAGGACCAACCAGTGGGTTAAATCTACAAGAGCTATGTAGCCTCTTGTCTGAACCTACCATTCAGGTTACACATGAGAAGGAAATTCCTGATAGTAGAAGCAGTGAAGATGCCACTACATGAGACATTTGAGTTTCCCTTCAATTCTTCAAACAAAGACTGGATGATCATATGTCAGAGAAATAAAATACATGCTGCATTTATCAAAATGCAAAATCCAACGGGTGGACCTGGGTTGACTCTAAACTGATATTATAGCTTTTTAAATTCTTAAATCTTGAATTTGAATTTGTATTCCCACGTTTAACCTATTTATTGGATATTCTGATTTAATTTGTCTTTTAACTTTTGTATTTCTGTTTCTTATTGTTGTGAACCGCTCTGACTCCTTCGGGAGAAGGGCGGCATACAAATCCAATAAATAAATAAATAAATAAATAAATAAATAAATAAATAAATAAATAATATATAAAAACCATAAATCATAATGTAGTACATATAAAACTGGAATCTGAACATTCAAAACCAAAGAAATAACTCATCATAAAAAATAATAATAACCACGACAACTCTGCTTCTAAGAGAGGGCTAGTGATTAGAAAAGTTCTCCAAAGATGCTGAACCAAGTGATAGCTTTTTGAGTAGAAGGCATTCCACTGCCTCCTTCAGATCTGCTTTTATTACCCATTCTTTCAAATATATATTTAATCACTATCCTGACTGATCCTCTTCCTACCTTTTTGGAGGCTTTCACGAAGCAGGAAGGGAAAGGATCCAGATCACAAGTGTCAGGACTAAAAATGAAGAAAATGCTGTCCATTTTGGGAAGAGTAATAGCCTCATATTCATGCCAAATAATTCCATCAGTGGGAGTTTCAGCCATGTAAACAAGAGCTCCCCTTATTTCAACCCTGAGCTACAAACAGGATCTGTCCAGTTGGCATCCAGCTCTGAATAGATCTGAGTGATTTTCTCTTCCAGATATTTTGCAAGCTTGTCACAGTGACCTTATAAAAAATAATGGGTGATTTTTAAAAAGGCATGACCGTGATCTGCAGGTACAATAATACAGTAGCTGAGAAATATTTTCATTTCACTACTCTTATTCCATAGTACAGGGTTGAACTACAGCTCTTACTTATGTCCAACCAGATCCACGGCCTATCTTTCACTAGCATCATTTGAAATCCTTTAATTTAATCCTTTGGAACACCTTTATATATAAGCTAAGGAGCTTCTCTGGATAAGTATCAGATATAGATAACTAAGACATAACTGAGGTGATTAAGCCTCATCAGGATTGTTTCCTAGGAAGGGAGGTTGAAGACACCAAGCATATAGGTCTACCACCTTACCCCATCAATTAGATCCAGTAACTTGAAGGGGAATGCCACCATGGGAAGGGGATGGTACAGCAATTACCACTTGTCCCTGGTACGCAACTTCAAGAACAAGTTCTTACATTTGGTTATATATGAAATAATATCATTTGTTACCTCCAGACCTTTCCAGTGTCCCCTATTGTGCAGTTGTGACTGAAGCTAACTTTGAAACACATAAGGAAACATTTTAGATCTGGTTTTCCAGTTCTTGATAATGTAAGTCTGGTCTACCCATTCATCTGCAATCAAATCATGGATGTGGAGATATTTACTGTATTAAAGGCATAATGTTATTTAACAGTAACAGGAGGCTAAGATCTCCAAGAATCCAGCCTGGTTCCTGGAATAAGGACAGGTGTCCAGAAATGTTGAGGGGGGTGGGGTTCAGATACCCAGTTCTCCTAGGAATGGGCTACTGTTTTCAACCACCCCATCCCTCTGTCCATAAACAATCCAGATCTTCATCCCTTTCCCTCCCTTTCCAAACTGCCCCACCCATCATCACCTCTGAGGGAATCCTTTCTAACCATCTTCCAGCGTAGCTCCACAATCAGTCCACCAATCACATCCTGGAGCCCTGCATTTGCCCAAGCATTCAGCAACCGTTTTCCCGCAGTACTACAACTTCTTCCCACAGAATTGCAATTTGAAAGACACAAAACAGTTAGTAATGATAGTGAGATGGTTTCTATAAATGTAATAACAATCAGATGCAAATGGATAGGCAAGACAGCTTAGTCATAGACTGGTTTACAGCAATACTTAATAAGAATCAATGTTCTGGCCAGGGTTTCCATCTGTTAAAAAAAAAAGACATTCTGCTGTAATTGTTGTTTATATATAATTCCTCTATGTAGGAAATTGTTAAAATTGTTGTTTACATATTATTCCTCTATGTAGGAAATTATTAAAAAAAATAAACATGCTGTACATTCTAGAAGACCCACTGGATTCAAATTAATTGCACAACTCTGCTTTGCAGCCATCTACAGCTCTGAAAGCCTTGGACATTTTATTAATGTTTTTAGCTATTGTTCAGTGGGAATACTGGTCTGCCAATATTGGAAATGCTAATTATGAAGCAACATTATATTTTAAGAGATGTTAAGGAGATGATGGAACTTTGACACATTACGAAGTTACATTCTGTTTTGGCTCATTTCAGTTCAGTTCAGTTTGGTGCAAAATATTCAAGCCCATATTTCTTGCCATGACATTTTCTCACATTAGTTTGACTGGTCACCAGAAAGTTTAAGTGTCACCTTATGCTGTCCAAGTGCTTATGTAATGTCTGAAATAAGACCAGTACATGGCCTTGGACAAATTAGTGGAACAGCTTTTGGCTGCAATTTCCACACGAGAACCTTTCAATCAGCTTTCTTTCATGAATCACCATTAAACAAAATGAATTTGTAGAGCGAAGCTTTTCTGCAAATACTGACCCGATGTGCTCAAGGAAAAGTAATCTACATTCCTCCAAAAACCTTCCTTCAATTTATAAGAGCTTCAGCCTTCCACTGTGAAGGCTGCTGGGAGGTGTCATTCAGTTACATGCAGATTTTGAATGACAGCAAGAGTTGGGATAGTCAAATTGGTTATTTTCTTGGTTCTTTTATGTCTCCTGTTTTAAATTAATGTTGGTTTATTTCCTAATCCATTTGAAACATTTTTTTTAAAAAAAAACTTGGTACACAAACTTTGTAAACAGATTTCTTTCATTTATTTAATATGCAAACACTTTTCCTGATTCAATTGCACAAAAAAAATCTCAAAATTTGCATTCAGGATTGTGAATTGATTTAGGAAGTGTAAATTATAATGCAATCAAAAATTCTCCTTAAAGGAGCATGCTTCATCTGGTGCACGAGTTGTGTCCTTTAAAAGGTCACCCATTCCCTAATCACCTCATTACTCCTCACTGAAGACTCTCTGGAAGCTTCAGCTGGTCCAGAAAGCAATAGCATCAGCAGTGATGACCATGCCCTGGTATGTATTGGGGATTTGCATCCAGGTACAATTCAATATGCTCTTTATGACCTATAGACCCTAAATGGCACAGGACCTAAATATTTGAAGGATTGTCTATCTTATGTGGTATTGGCCTTGCCAGATCATTCTGATAAGATTGGCGTGCTCTTGATTCCTTCAATTGAACTATGACAATTTATCGGGACCTCTAAAGTGTTCTTTCTCTAACAAGGTGCCTATCTTCTACAAAGTTCCCTCTGAGATCCAGGCAGCACCTACCCTGATGGCATTCTGAAAGACCTTAAAGATATGGCTATTCTGCCAGGCTTGGGCTACGGTGGTTGGAGCCCTTTACCAAGTATGTGATATGTTGTGCTATGTTAAATAGGTCTGCCATCTGTTTACTGCCACATTATTAATCTTGAAATTGTACAGTTGGTTTGGTTATTTAGTTTTTATGCTGTGAGCCACCCAGATTGGAACTGAGTAACATCTAACTAAAAAAAAATCAATCAATCAATCAATCAATCAAATGAAGGCTTGTTCTGCTGTTCTATATACTCCACTTTTAAAAATCTGCAGTGTCCTAAGAGAGAACATTGCTATGCTAGAGTTAAAGGGATTAACTGGGTGAGAATAGAAGCAAGAAAAGAATTGCAGGTGACCCTCTTCCCCTGCAGTAATTCTTCAGGACTCTTTGACAATTGCTCTGCAAAGCAATTCAATTTCTCAGATATAAGCAAACCATTGGAGGAACCAGTTCCTGAATCTATGAAAAACTATGAAGACATTTTAGGTTAAGTTCTTTGCTTATCAGCAATGCATACAGGTAGTCCTTGACTCACAACAGTTCATTTAGTGATGGTCTGAAGTTACAACGGCACTGAAAAAAAGTGACTTATGACTGTTTTTCACACTTAGAACCATAGTTTCAATTGGGAAAATGTAACAATCCTAGACAAGGCCAAGTCCAAAAGTGCCAGGGAGTTTCTAGAAGCCTGGCACTCTGACAAATCAGCCATCAATAGACACATAGCCATTAACAACATCTATAGACTATGCAAAAGAGATAATCAACCAGCTTAAAAGAGAAAAAGACTCCAGCACCTGTTCACCAGCAATCAGCACTCATATAAGTATAGATTAACTCCAAAGTCAACTTCAGACCAACAATCAAGTAAGCAATACACCAATCAAGAAACTGCCAAAGAACCATCAGTAAACAGCCCAATCAAAGAATCTCTAAGACTGCCCCCACCTACCCGCAAGACACCAAAATATAAACTGACAGCAAACAGCACTCCTTACTAGCACTGATGGTGTTACCTACTTAGGATAATGAACCGTCGGCAAGAAAATAAGCAAACTCAGAGACCACCAAGGACATCTCAACCCTGAGCTACATATATTCTCTTTTATTGGTACTCTTCAGAGGTGAGTTTCAACATGTTCTGAACAGTCCTGGAGAACTGGTAGCGAAAATTTTGAATAGTTCGAAGAACCGGTAGTAAAAATTCTGACTGGCCCCATCCCCGTCTATTCTCTGCCTCCCAAGTCCCAGATGATCAGGAGGAAATGGAGATTTTGCAGTAATCTTCCCCTGGAGTGGGGTGGGAATGGAGATTTTACAGTATCCTTCCCCTGCCATGCCCACCAAGCCATGCCATGCCCACCAAGCCACACCCACACAACCGGTAGTAAAAAATTTTGAAATCCACCACTGGTACCTTTATAACTATTGCAGCATTCCCTTGGTCATAGAATCAAAATTCAAACACTTGGCAACTGTCTCATATTTATGACATGTCCTGGGGTCATGTGATCAGCTATTGTGACCGTCTGACAAGCAAAGTAAAATGGGGAAGTTAGATTTACTTAACAAGTAAAGTTACTAATTTAACAATGGCAGTGATGCACTTAACAACTGAGGCAAGAAAGATTACAAAATGGGGCAAAATTCCCTTATTTATTTAGTTCAATTTATATGCCGCCTTTCTCCGGAGCCTCAGGGTGGCTTTAACAACTGTTTTGTTTAGCAACAAAAATGTTGAGCTCAATTGTGGTCATAAGTCAAGGACTACCTGTATTTGGCAACAACAATCAGAACTGTCTTGTTAATGACACAAATGACAGAGAGCCTTAAGCAATCAGAAGATGATTCACTGTTTTTCTTTGTGGGTATCTACACAAGCAAGCTATTGGCAAATACTGCCTGCTGTCAATTCAATTTTTGAATAAGGATAACGATGGTACTAGTGGTCCTATACTTATTGTATACATTTTTTCCAACCTAAGCAGAGTGAAGACTCCAAAGAAAAGAAAAGAAACTCAAACTATTTCACAAATTTCTAGCTTTGCCAAAAATGTATCTTAAAATGTGTTAACCATTTGCCTATACTCTTTACAATGAATTGCTGTCTGGTTTTGGTTATGAACTGTGTGAATACAGCCAGACATTTAAAGAACATAATTTATTATTTTGGTTTTATTGAATGAAATACCCATATTCACGAGAAAAAAAAAAGCTAAGGGAGAGGATCCTTACAAGATGGTGTTGTGGAATGGATAGTGAATGCCCTGTAAGGAACGCCATACGATCAGGAAATGACAAATATTACAGTAAGTTCAAAGCAGTCGTTTGGGCCTCAGACGCTCCAAGAATGCTAGTACACATCCAGCTGGCATTTCAGGTGGGATGTCTGGCCACATCTGCCTGATGCATTTGGCTATGTGGCTTCTTTCTCCTGAACACTCCCAGTTTTTTCTCTCTCCATAAAAAAAAAACCTAAATGTTAAGAAAAGTACCATTCATTTAGTTTAGGATTTCAAAGAAGGAGTCGCTTACCACGTGGCAGTGATTTCTTGCCACCAGTCTTCTCATATTTTTGCCACTGAGCTGAGTATGTTGTGCTTTACATAACTGCTCAATGCACAGTCCTATTTCTATTACAAGCCTGGGTTTTTTTTATTTTTATTTTTTTATTATTATTTTTTAATTTGATTTATATGCCGCCCTTCTCCGGAGACTCAGGGCGGCTTACAATGCGTTAAGCAATAGCCTTCATACTTTTGTATATTTATACAAAGTCAGCTTATTGCCCCCACAAACTGGGTCCTCATTTAACCTACCTTAGAAAGGATGGAAGGCAACCTTGAGCCTGGTAAGATTCGAACCTCCAGTAATTGCAGGCAGCTGTGTTAATAACAGGGTGCTTTAAACCAAGGCTCTTATCTCTTCATTGTCTAGAAAATTGGCAAGCGGCAGCATTTGCAAGATGAGATTAAGGACTTTTCCTGTAGGATTCAGACACTCACAAACACTTTGATTCCGATGGTGTCCTTAAGCTTCCCACTTCAGATTGTGTGGCTGCAGGCTCAGGAAGTGGTAATGGTGAATTCGAAAAAGTAATGCACTGGACGGGCTAATCCCTACTTTGTTCACTTGAGAGGAACTTAGCCATCAATATACAGTAGTACAGCCATATTTTTTTTAATTGGTCTGTTATATTCATTGCTCTCCCCCCCACCCCGTCCTTCAGCAGACACGTGGGGCTAATGTATATCAATACACAGATCACAGTGCAAAGTGCAAGAAACCTAAAGAGCAGCTTCACTGCTCGTCCAATGTTTCAGAATTTTTTACATCACCTTAGCATTTGTATACAAGGTACTTTAGAAGTTCAGAGTGGAGACAATTTTGTTCTGCAGTATTATTATTGCTAGTTACATGTACTCTATCGTTTATAACTAGACTTGATACTTTTGTCTATCAAATCCCTCCCAAGAAACTAAGATAATTAGTAACACTGTTACAATATATCTGCTGTTCCAAGTAATGCAACTCTTCGTAATTAATGGGCTGAGATTCTGACCATTCCTATTGTGTTATAGAGCTTTTGTAGAACTTTTGGTATAGTGTCAAACACACCAACTACGACTGACACCGTTAAGCTTTCTTTCTCCACATCCACCCAATCTCTATTCAAAGATTTTTATATTTTCCTGTTTTTTCTAGAGAAAAAAAAATCTTTCAGTCACTTCGTGCCAATTTTTATTTCTTTGTAGCTACAGTACAATCATACCTGACTTATTACGGACAACATGTTTAAATATTAAATATTAAATTTTAATATTTTGTATTTGGAAGTCCCGGAGGATTGCAATGTCTTTGTTCTTGACCATTTTTTCAATATTCTGATTTCGCCAATTCTTTGTTGCTGGTAAATTATAATTCTTATTAAAATGCCTGTGGATCAGGGTGGCCACTTTATTGTGTCTTCTAAATGCTCAGCCTGTGCAATCCTCTTACATCCCCATACCAGGTGTTCAACAGTCTGCTACTGTTATTTATAGTGTTGAAATTTACTACTAGGTGGAGTTTTCTCAAAATTAGCTTTCATTACTGTTGAATGTACTAACTGTTCTTAAGTCACTGAAATGAGCCTTTTCTTTAATGTGCTTCTTTTAAAATCATTCTATGTTTTCTTCATTATTAATCTTTCCTTAGGTGTTGATAAAGAACTGGCTGTTAAATAAGTTCTTTTCCCAGGTTTGTTTCACATCATCAGCTGCTTGTTTTTAAATGCAGTTTGGTTTTATTGCTTTTCATTATACTTTCCTTTATTAGCTCATTTAGTATATCTTCTTGGCAAACCTTAGCGTATTAAGCCAAACTCTTTACTTCTTCAGCTTTTTGTATTTCTGTACTATTGTCATCATCTTCATTCTTATTCTTATTAGTTTTAAATAATAGTTTTGAAAGTTGTAGAAAGATGGAACAGAAATTTCCTTTTGGTTACAACAGTGGAAGCAGGAAAGGCAAGAAGGAGGCTGCAAGGATAATATTATAGCTGAACTCCAGATAGGAAGAGATTAATTTATTTCTGAGGTGAGTCCTTGTGTTTTACTTCTGAAGGTTGGCAGCATCTTGTTTCTTAGCGTTTAGTCAATTCATATTTATTGTGTGATTATGAGTATATTCTGTTCCCATAAAAATGTACATACATAAAAATACCAGAGGAGTCCACAGCAGGCCTAAATGATTAACACATTTTTCTTTCAAAAGAAGTGTGAAAAAATCATCTGCAGAGAAGAGAGAAGGTGGATTTCCACCCTGCCCCAATCTCCAGAGGAGCTGCCTCTATTGGCTGTTTTCTTTCAGATCTGTAAAATCCCCAGAGTCACAGATGAACCAAAGGTGAGCCAGTTATGTTTATTTGCCTTGCCTTGGTCTAAACCTACAGTTTCTGAGTATTGCTCAATTCCTAATGCATTCATGTATATTTGATAACAACACTATTTCTTTCTTCTGTTTTTTTTTTTTAAGCTTTCCAGTTTGTTCCACGGCTATAGTTTTTCTTGAAGAAAAACTTGCAAAGAACTATCCCAGTCCAATTCGGGTTAGCCTTTTGAAATCCATCAAGGTCATCTCGGGTGCAGCCACTTAGCTGTGGTATAATATTGAACAAAAGCGTGTTAAGAATTCAGGCCCTCTGAAATAACACATAATTTTAAAAAAAATATATGTTGAAGAAATATTTATGAAACAACTCGTTTACACTTAGGAAACTATTTTGTAAAAAAAGATTCTGATCAAGTTAAGTTTATGTGCTTGTTTTTACTTGAATAGCTATTAAAAAACAGCCTATGTTTCTCTAAATCATTTCTCTGTGTTTTCCCAAGTGCCTGAAGAGCCTTACTGAGTGAAATATCTGGTTGTACAACAGCCAGACCTTCTGTGGAATTAGAGAGACTCCCTGAACATCTGCTTCTTTCTGGTCTTCCAGAACTTTGCTGTGCCTTTGTTTGTGCAGACAAAGAGAGAAAGAGAGAGAAAAAGTGAGAAAGAGAGAGGGGAGAGGGAGGGAGAGGGAGGGAGGGAGAGAGAGAGAGAGAGAGAGAGAGAGAGAGAGAGAGAGAGAGAGAGAGAATGAATGCTGGATAGTGGAAAGCTTTTGACCCACAGAACATGGTTCAATCAAGGTTTCCCATGTCTTTTAATCCAGGCCAACTACAGATGTTGCATGAGGTCACTTGGAGTAATATTGGGGTCTAAGGTATCAGTGAAAAGCTGTGCAGGAACAGCGTGGGCTGCAAATGGGCATGTTGGAAAAACAGAGACAGCTTTGTTAGAGAAATATTTAAGACCAACTAAGGACAAGCAACTGTTGTTTAATAAGAAGACAAAGTATGGGGGAAAAAAAGTTTGACTGGTAAAATATATAGAGTAAGAAGTGAAGCGGGTGGACGTACAAACACTTCTGATGCAATGGCTGCTTTTCTAAATGAAGTGAACAAATGAAAGAACAAGAATGTTATAAAGCTATAACTGTCTATCTCGAGGCCTGTGTAAGATCAAAAACACCACCAAATCTCAATAAAGAAGTAATGCACAAACACAACAGTGTGTGGAAGGAACAATCCTTCCAAAGAAAATTCAAGATAACAAAGCTTTTATTTTCTGTACAAAGTGTACTAATGGAGAGCTATACTTCTTAAAACAGTATGTAATTAATTATGCAGCAATTTGATCTAATCTTCGAAAGGTTTAGATGAGATACTGTTGGATAATCTGCAGGACTGGAATGAGTCGAATGATGGTTCAAAGCAAATGACTGATTAATGGTATCATCTCAATTTATTTGCTATTTTAAAAAAAATACAGCAAAATGATGGCTGCTAACCTAGCTCATTTAGGGTGGGTTCCAGTCTGCTCTTTGCAAACAACTGTGCTCTTGGGAAAATACTTGAATATCCAGTTAATATCTATTCCATTTGCCTAAAACAGGTGCCTCGGAGAGAGGTCATTAAAGGCAGGATAGTGGCCTGGACTATATTATTGAAATCCCACCTTCCCTTTTGTTACATGAAACTTACAGGTAACACTTATAATAAAGAGATGAGAGTTCAATGTGTAGTCACAGCTACCATATTAACATTTTTAATCCCTTCTCCTCCTCCAGCAGATCTGATCCCCTGATCTAAACACTAAATAAGTGTTTAAAAAAACACTTACATTTAAAATTGATGCACTAGTCCAGGGGTCAGCAACCTGTGGCTCTGGAGCTGCATGTGGCTCTTTCACCCCTCTTCTGCGGCTCCCTGTCACTCAAAATATGCGTCACAACTGCCAATATGCGACACCTGCCGGCATGCGATTTATTGAGCTTTTCAACTCCCCAGTAGGCCAACCATGGATAAATCCCAGAAAAGAAAAGTTTCAAAAGAAAACAGAACATTTAATTCAACTGCATATACTAGTTTTCTGGCTGCTCAAGAAATAGTCAGGCACAGGAAGGGTTTTGTGGCTCCCAGTGTTTTCTTTTCTGTGGGAAATGGGTCCAAATGGCTCATTGAGTGTTTAAGGTTGCAGACCCCTGCACTAGTCCTACTTTTTGTTTAACAAATTTATTGTTTTGTCATGGAAAATAAAATACAAACAGTAAAACAAACAAAATGAAACAAAGACATACATTCAACCCTAACAACAACAAAAAAGAAAAAATAGTGTACAAAAAAGGAAGAAAAAGTGGTCCATTAAATCTAACATTTAACATGTAGGATGCACCCTGGCTGGGTGCTGAAAGAAAAGAAAAAGAAATAAATTCTCCTCCCCTTTGTGTGTGTGTGTGTGTGTGTGTGTGTTCTTATTACTATGAAGAGTGAATTTAGAAACTTTGTGTAGACAAAGCTTAGTGCTATGTTTAAATTGTTTTCTATATTAATGAACCACCATGAGCCATGATGGTGCAATGGTTAGAATGCAGTACTGCAGACTACTTCTGCTGCCTGCCAGCTGCCTGCAATTTGGCAGTTCAAATCTCACCAGGCTCAAGGTTGACTCAGCCTTCCATCCTTCTGAGGTTGGTAAAATGAGGACCCAGATTGTTGGGGGCAATATGCTGACTCTGTAAACCACTTAGAGAGGGCTGTAAAGCACTGTAAAGCGGTATATAAGTATAACAACAACAACAATAACAACAACTTTATTGTCATTGTATGTGTATACACAGAATACCCAAACAAAGAAATTCACTTAACACCCAAAGACACACATAACACACATAACAATCCCCAAACACATTCCCACCCACCACAATTCCCCACCCCCAAACCACCCAAACATCCACACAACAGACCAAGCAATGCTGACCAACAGCTCAGTAATGGTGGCCCTTTAGTTCATTGTTGAGTGCAATGGGATTGTTGAGCTCTGGGATAAAAACTATTCAGAAAACGTGTGGTCTGAGTTTTAATTGTTCTGTATTTTCTGCCAGAAGGCAACAGTCCAAAAAGATTGTAAGCAGGATGGGAAGAGTCTCTGAGAATGTTATGCAACTTCCTCAAACAGTGAGATTCGAAGATGTCATCCAGGGCTGGTAGCTAGTACTATTGCTGCTATTGCTAATGATAGCTTTTTTTAATCTTTATTCTTTTCTGTTTCTGTTTGCTTTTGTTTTTGCTTTTTTGGACCAATTTCCTATTTATATTAAAGTACTTTAAAAAAAATAGAAACAGGTTAAAGAATTTGACTTAATTCATTTTAAAAATGCATGCTGCATTTTCAGTTAGGCATAACGGATAGTATCCCTATTATCATCTACAATTCTAGATCTTAGTTTTGGCTCAGAAATAACAGAGTTATCTTTTTTCATGATTAAAAATGCCTGGAAGTTTGGAAGGGACTCTTTGTAGTTTACTGAAATATAAACGAATAATTTCCTGTTGAATTATTAAAGCAGCTGCATCTTTTATGAATGCACCAATGGAAGACCTGAAAGACCAGGTTAGGGACAGATTGCCATGGATAAAATCTCTCTGTATAGTTGATAAGAGTCGACAACTTGATAGCAAATAATCAAACTCTTTTGTTCAGAAAAATGAAATGATTGTGTGTGTGTGTGTGTGTGTGTGTAAATGGGAAGGTAGCAAGAATATTTTTTTTAGCTTTTGCATGTTTCAAAATCCCACTTTTCACATTATTTGCCCAAGTTTCACTATTCACCTTAGGAACAATGTGGAAAGATCATTTAAATTCCCAAATACTGCTTTTGTCAACAATGTTTTTCATACCAAATAAAAGTTGACAAAGGACATGTTGCTCAAGCCTGGCTCTTACGTATTTTTGTAAAATTAGCATAAACAGACTTACTCAAAAGTAAATTTTCCTGATTTCAAGTAGATTAGTTTCCGAAGAAGATTCCTGGCAAAGGCTTAAGCCCAAAGGAAAGGATTTTAGAGGAATGATGGAGAAGGTCCCCAAGGGCTGATTTCAGAAAATGAGCATTTCAGGAGTTGGGAAGCCAACAGTGAACTCATTACATAGTTTGGCAAGCCCCTGTCACTTGTCTCTCTCCATTAGCTAGCTCTTTCTTCACTCTTTGGCAATACAAAATTTTATTTGCTTGTAAGATAGTAGGAAAATAACAGAAAGATATGATTGATACTGAAAGTGAGTTACAGGCTTTGCCTTAATCTAGAGCGACTTCATCCTGCTATCTAGATTCCTAACACCCTATCCTAACCATTTGCTTTTGCCACCAGCGCAATCCTTTAAATCAGTCTCTCCTTGCATTTTGCCACTAGTGTGAAATTAAGCCAAGAATATGTTGGTAGGGTTCACATAACATATTCAGCAATATGTGTTTAGCAACATTTTTGGGACTAAATTAAATTGGCTGGATATATTTGTCATACTAAACCAGGGGTGTCAAACCTAATTTCATTCAGGGCTACATCAGGTTGTGTTTGACCTCGGGGGGCCAGGGTGGGCATGGCAACCTCAACGTCTCTAGTGTTGGGGGCGCCTTTTGACTGTGATGGCCTCCTGCAATCCTCTGCCAGTGAAAATGGAGCTTAGGAAGGCTGCCCGCAGCCCTCCTGAGCTACATTTTCACTGGCAGAGGCACTGCGGGCTGGTCCTTTGCTGTTTCCGGGGTGGCCCATAGTCCAGATCTAAGCATCCCACAGGACAGATCCTCTCCCTGGGCCTTGAGTTTGACACCCCTGTGCTAAACCATGGTTCACAAACTAGAATGGCCAAATCCACAGGTTCCGTTAAGTTAAAATCAAACAAAATACACAATAGTTTAGCACGTTTTATGAACTCAGCTTCTATTTTAACCAGAAATCTATTCATCAGAACTGAGTGTGATTTGTAGAGATTTGGTGGCTGCGAATGAAATTCGGTATTGCAAAAGAGCGAAGCAAAAACCAGCTAATGGAGACAAGTAGTCACAGCCTTGCCAAATTGTGTAATGAGTTCAGTGTTGGCTTCCCGTTCCTGAAAAGCTCACTTTCTGAAATCAATACTTGGGAACCTTATCCATCATTCCTCTGAAATCCTTTCCTTTGAGCTAAAACCTTTGCAATGAATCTTGCTCAGAAATAAACCTATTTGAAATCAGGAAGATTTACTTCTGAATAAGTGTGTTTATGCCACTTTCAGAGCCAGGCATTAGCAAAATGTCTTTTGTCTGGACTTGAAAAACCAGATAAAAGCAATACTTGGGGATTTATTATTATAGTTCTCTCATCAATATTTTAAGATTATGTATTTGGCAGCATTTGGCAAAGTAGTATGCAACCAATCATTGAATATTTGAAATAAATTGGAAACCATATTTTGTACTGACATTTCCATCCCAAACCTTGTCCAGA